ATGCTTGTATATGTATATATAATTTTTTTAAAAAAGAATTTTTTGTTAATTGACTTATAGTTAAAAAATATTTTATAATCAGCAGAAAAGTATCTATTATAAAAAAGAAATGCACAAGATATCGATGGGCAAATGCTCCAAAGTTAGTAGATCATCACACCACTCTACCCTCAGATACACCAGATTGGATACTATCCAAATCATATCTTAACTATGATGCTCCACGTCTGATAGTGATAGCAATACCTCTAATCCAGATAATCTGGATAACCCTACTAACTCAGATGACCCACTAACCCAGATGACTCCACTAACCTGGATGACCCACTAACTCAGATGACCCCACTAACTCAAATGACCTCACTAAACTGGATGACCCTGCTAATCCAGATGCCACTGCTAATCCGGATGCCACTGCTAACCCAGATACTACTGCTAATCCGGATGCCACTGCTAACCCGAATACCACTGCTAATCTGGATGCTACTGCTAATCTGGATGCTCCTGCTAATCAGGATGCCCTGCTAACCAGGTTGCCCTGCTAACCAGAATGACACTGCTAACCAGGATGCTCTTGCTAAGCAGGATGCCTCTGTTAACCAGGATGACCCTGCTAACCAGGATGTCCCTGCTAACCAGGATGACTCTGCTAATCAGAATGCCTTTGCTAACCAGGATGCTTCTGCTAACCAGGATGCCTCCGATAATGACAATCTGAATGATTCTGATAGTGATAATCTGGATGACCCTGATAGTGATAATCTAGAGGATATCTTTGATGCCGACTATGAAGCTATTGTTGGACCTAGTAAACCTTGGTATAGTGTATACAATATATGTTCATAATCAAAAAACTTTTCGGGCAGTACAGGTAAAAATAGTAATACTGTTTGTTTAATTATAACTAAATGAAACTAATCCTAGTTTTTGAATTTGACAAAAAGCATATTAACTAGTTGTCTTTAATAAATTTAGTAATATTAAAGATATGTCAAAAAAGGTTGTTGATAAAAAAGGTAAATCAAAAGAGGTTGTTAATGAAAAAGGTAAATCAAAAGAGGTTGTTGATGAAAAAGGTAAATTAAAAGAGGTTGTTGATGAAAAAGGTAATTCAAAAAATGTTGTTAATGAAAAAGGTAATTCAAAGGAAGTAGGTATATATCGGGCCTAAATTATACTATTAAATCATATGATCTTCAGCAGCATTAGCTAGCTGATACTAATATATTAGCTAGCTAAGCTGGCTAAATAGCCATAGCTGCTTCAGCTGGCTTATAATACTAATATCAGCTAATTTTTATACTAATATATTAAATTGCAGTTAAATATAGTTAACTTATACAAATTATTATTTATTATATATATTTTTCTGGTATTAGCAAATCTAACACTTTATCAAAATCCTTCTCGAATATCAGAACGTAAAACTATATTAAGTCACCAGGAATCTAATATATCCTTAGGTAATTAGATAAAATATATTAATTAATGTATAATTCAAATCATTAATTTTGTTTTTCATATAGGTAGATCTGATAGTATTAACTATTAAGTTTCCAATGATGAAGTTGCGAAAACACTTGCAAACTCTATAGAATTTCTAAAAAGCCTATTAAAGCCAGAAAAAGTAGAAGAAGAAGAAGTAGAAGAGGAAGAGGAAAGTGAAGAGTAAAATACCCTGGCCTCCTAGCTTTTTTTTAAATTATATATATATAATTTTATAACATTTAAAAAAAATTTAAAATTCAACCCAGCTGGATTATAAGAAAAAATTAATTAAATTTGTATAGTCTTACATATTTGTATTATTGAAAAATATAGTTTAAACAATATATGCGTATAAAACTTAATAAATAAATTGTTGTTTAATGAAAGCTATATATACTGTACATTGCTATAACACTATGTATATTGGGAGTTAAAAGTGAATATAATTTTATACTTTGTATACCTATCCCTTAAATTGTAATACAGGCAAATTTGCCTGCGTTTATTTTTTT